AGTGGCAACTAGTGTTGATTTAAAGTCTTTAATGACAACCACCAGAAAATATGAAAAAAAAATGCAGGGATAGGTCTGGAAAATTTTTTTTAAAGCACAGTCCACTGAATTATGATACAACATCACAGATTAATTTGCAGAATCCCCATTAGCCTGATAAAACTGCAGTGAAATGTATGGACAGAAAGTGCGCTCCTTTGACATCAGGATTAATGAAGCAGGGAAAGGGAGAAATAAAGGAGCAGAGAAATTCATGATTCAACCTGTCTGTTCCCTCTCTTTAGCCCATGATATTGTCTACACATGTGCCATTTGCACTGGTAATTGAATTAGTAGTATGATATCTGTTCTAAAGATCTCTGAAATATTTTGATTTCTCACATCTTATTTGATCTTTCACTCCTATCTGCTCCTGGTCTGTCTTATGCTTTCACCTATTTCTGTTACATGGCAGAGTATCAACTCCAAAGTTTCTTCATGTTTATGAGGCCCACTTTAGTTTTATACTCTTCTAAAAGTATATTTTTCTTTCCTATGAAAATGAAAAAAATTAGGATTTTTTCAACTGCTTTAAGGGAAACATGAAGACAAAGGAGTTATGGGTAGCTTACCCCACATGAATGGCCTTCATTTGGCTAGAAACCCAAACTTCTTCAAAAAGCAGAGCCAAATGAGATTAAGTAATCCTAATTATATCTGTGGAGATCCACATATATGGAGATGTAATAGTTTCAAGTCTATTGGCTGTGTATTTATTTCCTATTTCATTGTCTGCAGTCAAATTTTGATGACATAAACCCTATCTGTCTGGAGGACAGAAAGCCATCCAGAGAGACTTGGACAAGCTCAAGAAGTGGGACTCTGGAAAGCATATCTGGTTCAACAAGACCAAGTGCAAGGTTCTGCACTGGGCTGGGGCAACCCCCTGGATCAACACAGTCAGGGGCAGGAGACAGCTGAGAGCAGGCCTTAGGAGAAGGACTTGTGTATACTGATGGAAGAAAGGTGGGACACACACCCCAGCATGTGTCCCAGGCTGCATCAAGAGCACTGTGGCCAGCAGGTCAAGGGAGCTGATTCTGACCCTCTACTCTGCTCTGGTGGAACCCCACCCAGAGCGCTGCATCAAGCTCTGGGGCCCCCAGTGCAAGAAGAATTTGGACCTATTGGAACAAATACAGGGGAATCCACAAGGGCTGAACCACCTCTCCCATGAAGACAGGATGAAAGAAATGGTGTTTGTGCAACCTGGAAAAGAGAAGGCTCCAGGGAGAAATTAAGAGCACCTAAAGGGGCTAAAAGAGATCTGGTAAGGGACTTTTGACAAGGATATGGAATGAATGGACAAGGGTTAATTATATTAAACTCAAAACAGGTATATTTAGATTAGATATAAGGAAGAAATATTTTACAATTAGGATGGTGACGCTGTGGATCAGGTTGCCCACAGAAGTGATAGATGCCCATCTCATTTCTAGAAACATTCAAGACCAGGCTGGAGGGGGCTCTCTGAGCAGCGTGAACGAGCTGGAGATGTCCCTGCCCGTGGCAGAGGGATTAGACTAGATGAACTTTAAGGGTCCCTTCCTAACCAGACCCACCTATGATTCTATATTTTATTCTTTTTTTAAGGAAATATCTTGTGCTGTTATCATTTCCTCTACTTGTCATGAAGTAATGTTAATTCTTTTGTGCTGAGAAAGAGTGGATCATTAGCAAAAAGCATACTTTTCAACTAAACAGCCATTTGCAAAATGCCATCCTTCCTATTTATAATCTGGAAGAGTTTTTCTTCTCAACTTTGCTGCAACTCACAACATAATTCACCCATCAGATCCATCCTCAGGTTTCCACCACCCAGTGGTGGCAGCTGGTTTACTGCAGATCCTTCCAAACCTGCAGCAGTGTCTACACTGGTATTACATATGTCACCAGGAAGTCTGGTCTCTTTTAATGAAAATGGATAAATGGCTTTGGTCATCCTTTCAGATGCATATGTTTGAGACTGCATTATCCTTTAACCCACCAGCTCTTCTCACCTCATGTCTGGGAAGGAGAAGGCTTCCTGAACAGTTTGCTCTTTCAGGGGTCACTTTCCTGATCACATAAAGGTACGCAAGAAACAGAATTTCTGTGGTCCTCATCTTTTTCCTGACTGTTCAGCCTACCCATTGTTTGGCCCTGTGTTATCTCAGATAACAGAACAAACTCACAGTTTCGCATAGAAGTTGTTAAGTGCTGAATAAAGATTGAAAAAGTAAAATGGGCATTTCCAGCAGTGGAAATGGTTTGCCTATTCTTATTTTTTAACAATTCTTTTTTTTTATTTTTTTTTTTTCCCCTATGAAAATGCAAATCAGCATCATTGCATTTGGAAGGCAAAAATGTTTTTCCATTATGTTGATTAGAAGACAGAATTAAACACTCTATGAATTTAATCTTTTTTTCTTTCCATAAATCTTCAGCAAGAAATTGTGGTAACATAGAAACATGTAAAAAAATTCAGTATTTTCTTATATACACCACTTTCAGTTGCTTTTCTACTCTAACTGTCATCAACACTTTTAATTATATTACTTAAAAACTAAAACATCCAATTCATCAGATGAGATATCTTTTCCAGTTTTCAAAGCACAAAGAAAAATTTGTTAAAAACAAAAAAATAGTAGCCAAACTGTTATTCTGTGTTAGACTCCTATTGGGCACCTGGGTTTTAGATATAAAGCAGAAGAAAAATTTGTCTCTCCAATAAGTATTTTCTGATTTAGTAATTTGGAATTCTGTCATATTCTCTTAGCATTTTTTTGCTATTATTAGCATACTAATCATGGGTGCAAATAATATTAAATAAACTCACCAAGAATAATTTTCAAAAACAAAAATAGCTTCCTTTTAAATATTTTTTTCATTTCTAAACTCCATCATCTGGTGCAGAAAACCATACGAGCTTTTCCATGATCCAGATCTCAGCCTCCTCTTAATTTTTTCTCTGGTGTAACTTTTGCAGAAGCAGCTTCAGTGCCAACTGATAAATACTTTCCTTGCTACTACTTTACACCTGCAAAGAGTACAGTGTCTTAGCAAGCAAGTCAGCTTGGCATACAATCTGGATTTTATTTGGAATAAGAAATCAACCCTTTGCTAATAGATGGGTTGTTCATACAGCACTTTAGTTTGTGTTTTTGTAAAGTAAATATTATATATACTGTTCATGTAATTTGTTCATGTGTGTGAAATATAATATTTATGGTCTGTGTCACAAGGTTATGAACAAATTGAATTTATAGAAAGGGATTGTTACTCCTTTGTGACCATGGCAGTAGCTGTTTTTCAAGTGTTTCTCAACAAAGCAGAGGCCAGTGTTAGCTTGTTCATTGCTCACCAAAACCAATGGCTATTAAACTCCTGGCAGTGGTTCTTTGAACTAAGCAACACTATCTGTCACCAAAATAGACTAGGATGTATTGCAGCATCAATTATTAATGGGCAGTAACTTTCATCTACAGACAGCAAGTTGCAACACCATGAACAGGAGACAGCCCCCATGGAAATCTGAAGATCATTCCTCAGCATCTTGTTCTACCAAACACCATTTTAATACCTCTGAAAGTCACCAGTGAAAGGAAATATTATTATTATTACAAATAATTGCTTGTACTAGACATCCAGAAATACAACCCTTATCAAAGACTTTTTTGTTGAATTTCTGGTCCATTCCAATAATTGCTTCTTTTAATTTTTGTAAAATCATATTCTGGTCCCCATCAAGACATATCAAATGTGTTATTAGTGTTTTCACATTGAAAGTTGCTTTCAAAGGAGTACCAACATATATTTTCTTTCCTTTTTTTTCACTAAATATTTGTATGTCTTCTGTAGATCATGCTAGACTGAAGATTTCAGCTATTAAATGTACTGAAACATAGAGGGAAATTATCTATTTCAAAATTACTGGTAAATTCTTATATATTTGCAATTTTAAAAATTGGGTATAATTAGTCAGATGCTTTAGTGTACTTTGATACACTCATTTTGATATAAATTTTGAAATAATTTAGAATTATTCTGTTCATTTTATAATCAACATTCATGTTTTTAGCTGGCCTTTAAACTCACCTGTTGCGAGTTACTTTCACACAATGCACTAGTTGGAAGTATTTACATAAGTAGATCAAACATAATAAACAATCAGCAAAAACTACAATAACATCAAATTAAACTTTTTACCTGATTTTAGTCAGAGCTTACACGTATAAACATTTGGGGAAGAGATTGCAAAGAGACAGTGATGACGCCAAAGTTTCTCTCTCCTGACTTAGCAATTTCTTCTTTTTTGTTAGACATTAAATGATCCCATCACAAATTAATCTGAATATTTGCTTTAGTGAAGCTCTCTTACATCTGAATTTTGAAGATATTTCCTTAAACTAGATATATCTTTGTGTCTTAATCTCATAAGAAGTATGAAGTATAACTTGACGATATAGAATATCAGATAATGGTTTTAATAAACTCACAATCTGCTGAAAAACTATAATTTCTTCTTTTTTATTGATGCAAGAGTGCACAAAGTAGGAAAATTGCCTTTCTACATGTGGTCAAATCCTTTTTTCTCCAATTCACAGAAATTACCTTTCAATGTAGTATTGTCTGAGTGACAGATGAGTAGGTATTAGACTGTGGTAAACATGGCATTCAGCAAAATTCTCTTCTCCTTCTGTTAGTAAGACAGTTACTATTCAATATTGTGCTTCATACAAAATTGACTTTGCCATACCATGACAATATTTATAAGCTATAGTATTTAATTTTTCCTATTTGTAAAGTAAGGGACAAACCAAATTTTTATTTCTATAAGCCAGTGTTTTGGGGGAAAATGATTCTGGGGGGTTGAGGGTTTTTTAAATTTTCCCAAAGTTCTGACACCAGACTCTTTGTACCTAAGCTACTAGGTGCATAAATCATCAAATTAGTAGAAATAAAAATGATTTTATTCAGAAGATTGTACAATAAGTTTTTATTCAAGAAGTGCACACTGCATTGAAGAGTCTCTGAGATGAGAGCTGTGGGCTGTTAACACATCAAAAGAGTTGCTAGCTAGAAGGCCTTAAGGATAAGTTTCTGACAGAAAAAAAACTAAATTTCAATACCAGCATCTATCACCATCCATTACAATTACTCCAGAGAAGGCATAACATTTAATGGAGAAAGTTAATCAGAGGAAGTAATCAAACATTTCTATTATTATTATAAGTTTGATCATAAGATTTAAATTTTTTTTTTCTTCTGGGCTGTTTTATTTTTAGCATATAAAGTCCATAGTTGGTTATTTAACTTTGGTTTCTCTGCAATGGCCAGTCTCCAGACTGCAGGTGGATTGCAAAGAGATTTTGGCAGTCTATTCAACATGTTGAGAAAAATCCATTTTTCCTGCTATTACTTTCCATTGTCAACCTCCTGCCAGTGTTTGTGGTGGCTGTCAAAAAAAAAAAAAAAGCAAAGAATAGAGTGATGAAATATTCTTTAGAAATTAAACCAGCATTTCATTACAAAAATAAGAGTGGAAGAGAAAGTGGCTTATTAATACCTGCGATATCAGCTGCCATCTGAAGAGGCTCAGCCCACACTGGAGATGTAAGATTTGGACACAAATTTCTGATGTGTGATCCCAAACTTCAAGCTTGATCAGTCAAAGATAAGTCTGTAGTTTTAGTCAGCATTTCACACCCATTTGACACATATGACCTACATAAGGTGCAGAACAATAGGGAATTAATCCCACTGAGCTTAATAAAAAGCTAGAGAGGGGGCAAAAGTCATAGTTCATTTGTGGAGCCCTGAGATAAGTATGTTTTTCATAACTTAAAAATGTTCTGGGCGGTGCCAGTATGAAACAAAGGAGTTCCAGTAAAGCCAAAAGGAAAATAGAAAACACAGATAAAAGCATGTGGAGACCTTTAGAAACAAGTTAAAATTTGCCTTCTACAAACCCCCAGTCCACACTCCCTGTTTTTCCTGCAGCTCATGAGAAATGGAGAGTTCTGGGTTTCCCCTCCAGATGAAGATCTTAGCTGTTTATTTCCACCCAGCACTTCTTCCAAATCTGCTGCATTATCCCTCTTTCTCTAACACCTGCTACATAGTATTTCACAGTAGATCTGTCCCACTCGAGCTACAGGAGGGACAAGGACACCAGCATCACCAAAAGTTGTGCCCAATGCTGCAGTTGACTCCACAAAAGCAAGCCATCCCCACTGCCTTTGTGTTACATGATTGAGGGTGTCAGGTTTCATAGACACCATCCAAGGAACAGCAGGAGCAGTACAGGAGCTGACACCTCAAATTCAGTGTGAATAAAAGGACTTCTGGGATTCCTCTGCCCAGCCTCTCTTTTATGATTTTTGTGATACGTGAAAATATTTTCTGATATTTTGAAGAAGAAATGCTGCTGCTTTTGCACACAAGTATCCAGTTGCAGTGGGTGAGGAGGAGGCTTTTCCAAGCCCCTCACAAGGAAATGCATTGAATATGTACACCATGTTATCTATCTGTCACATATTTCTGTGTTCAGGTGGCTTATTGCCATGTAGCCTGTTGTGACACCACAAAATCTATTTCATACATCTGTAGTCATTTAATGCCATGCAGCATTCATTAAAGATATGTTGGCCAAGGTTAATCTTGTTCTTCCAGATTCGGGTTGTTTCTGGTACATCATAAATCTCAGCCTAGTTCCTTTATTTCCCTACTCTTTGGCATGAGTGGAAGAGCCTGGAAACTGTTTTATGCCACCTTATTAACAGCCTCTTCAAAGGTACATGAACAAACTTGGAGATAGCTTTGTGTTTGTCCATGCAGGGGCAAAGCCATGTATTCAAGAAAGTTTCACATTCAAAATGTTGTTCAACAAGAAAGAAAGGGACAATACTGATGCTGGATAAACTGAGAACATCCTCTGTTGGCCCAGTCTTAGAAGAGACGAGAGGACAGGACAGGACTATAATATTAGAGTTGAAAGGGACCTGCAACATATATCTAGACCACCTGCTTCACCACTTCAGGTCTAGTTAAAGTTATTTAATTAAATAACAAGTTAAAGCATGTTATTCAGCACATAACTTAAATGTCTCTTAAACATTGACAGGTTTCCCTGTATTCCCAGTGTTTACTCACCTTTCAATTAAAAAATTCTTCCTAATGACAAGCTTCAGCCTTTCCTGAAACAGGTTTGAACCATTCCCACACTCCTGCTGGATCCCAGGAAGAAGAGATCAGCACCTCCCTCTCCAGCTCCCTTTCTCAGAAAGGTGTAGACAGCAATGAGCTCATCCCTCGGCCCCCTTTCCTCTAAATAAATAAACCCAGAGTGATCAGCTACTCTAGAAAGACATGCTTTCCAATCTTTTCAGTACCTTTGCAGACCAGCTCGTGATATTCTGCCTAAAGAGCAAGGTGCAAGCTGCAATGCATAAAATCTATCTCAGACTAGTAGAACTACCCAAGCTGTAGATGACGGCCCATACTGGAGCTTGATATCTCTTGTTTGGAGCCCTATATCTGTCTGTCCAAGGATAGCTCCTTAAAAATTAAAGTCAGTTTACAGGACTATATACAGTTGCTCCAAAGTTCAAGGATAAAGAGGCAGTGTTGTGTATGATATGCAAATTCTAATGAAGTCTTAAATAAAACTCATAAAATGATATGTCATGGAAAAGGACCGGTCATGCAGCTGTGTGGTCCTCCCCATCTAGGTAGGCACTGTGCCCATCCTGGTTGTTTATACAAGTCATTGATGAGGAATGCCCTATGTGTCCTAAAGAGGGTGTCACATTCTCTTCTGAGGAGCTAAAGGACAGTGAGATAGACACAGAAGTTATTTTGGCATGCATGAGATAAGCATTTTAATAAAATATACTGCTTTGGGGAAATTAAATTCTGTTATTTTTCCAGTTCTCCTGGGAAATGCCTGTTTCTACATTAACTGTTCCTAGATGTTGAACAAACTTGTACCCCACTGATAAGAAATGTGCGTAGCACTATATTTCCTACCCACTCTCATATGTAGCAATACAAACACATATACTATTATACTTTTTCATAATGGAGATAAGATCTTTCAGTGTATCCACCACCCTCCAGAAATGCTATTCACACAACACAAAAATTTCAAACAATGGTCATAAGCAGAGGTGGGGAGCCAGTCTGCTTTTCCTTGCTTTTATTTTCTTTTTTCCTACCTTGGTGTTAATTATATGTGACATTGCTATCAGTGTAGTGCAGTAAAAATGAAATGGTAGCCAATGTGCATAGACACTATGGAAATTTCAAATGACAAAAGCCACAAAAAAAATTATACTTTCCCTTTCCTTTCCTATGTAGTCTGCATTAACATAAGGATATGTGACTTAGCTATCCACGCACTGCAATAAAAATAAAATTGGTACCCAATGTGCCCAGACAGAACCTTCAAATATAAAAATTAAATTATACTCCTTTTCATCCTGTAAAGAATACATGGTGTGATGCACAAATTTCATTTCATTGCCACATCACAAATAATAAGCCAGATGATAACCTATATTTCTTTCTAATCATGAGGGAGAAAGAAAAGTACTTTAGGACTATCTTTTTTCAAATTTATTTTCATTTTATAATCAGTAAAATATGTTTCAAAACACTTTCTTATATTAAGATTATTGTGTTTATATATTTCCTAAATGTATTAGGTTTTTGGCAGAATGTGTCTAAAATTACTCATATGAATAAAACTACACAGTTATTTTATAGGATAATAGGGAAATAGACATCTGCATGCAACACTTTTCTCATTAGATGTGCTCATTTTGGCATATTTTTATGACTTCACTGCAAAATGCAGTGTGCTGATTTGAAATCTTCTTAAATATATGTGAACAACCCAAATGCTTTATTTATGCTTGTAGAATTGTTTAATAAAGTAGTAGGTAACCTTGCTGTAATGTGAGGAAATATGACCTGAAGGAATATGCTCACAGACACGGAGGGAGCCAAGCCAGCAGCTCCTCATCCATGATCAGTGAACTGGTAATGGTCCACAGGTCTCTTGTTCAAGATGAGGGGACTAACTGACTAACTGTCCTTGTTTACAGCTAATAAACAACACTGCAAATGTTTAGGCATGTATTAAGTGCCTTAGTATTATTTTTTCAGCTATGTAGTTTTCATTGCTTAACACAAAGATTGGTTTCTTCAAAAACAGCAAGCAGAAGACAAAGTTGTCCAAAACACAGTGGTTTTTGAGAAAATCTGGGCTGTGCTTCAAAACAATAGTGTACAAAATACATCAGTCTAGAAGACTTTGAGCAAGGAACTCTCACAGTTTAATGGGTGGGAGCTCCATTTTTGGCTGCTGCTAACCAGTTGCTGCAATGGTTTAACGTGAGCACAGCTGTCATGACTCAAAGACCTCCTTGGAATAGGAGGAAGTACCTGGCAAGGCAATCTGCAGGGACCTAAGGCTCCTGATGAAGTGGTCTACGCACTGGTCAGTCAGAACAAATTTTCTTTTCTACTCTGCATGTGTTTAAAGCCTTTATCACTGTGATTATAAGAATGGAATGAATCCTCCAAACTCTTTGTACTTTCATCTGGGGATGTGGGATTGTATTCTTATACCCTCTATGGCTGGGCTCTGAAAGGCGAATACATAATTGAGAAATTCTCAGTTGTAAAATATTTCTTAAATCCAACAACAAAAGAGTTTAATCAGAAAGTTACTCCCTTTTCTGGGAAAGCTCTGCCATAGCTGTTTGGATAAAATGGTTGAAAATCAGAGCCACAGTCATTTAAATAATCTGAAATTACATTTCTGTAATGCTAGTAATTTTTAAATGGCTCTTCATTTGATTCATGAACAATGCATGAACAGTACATGATTCACATGGGCAACTTTTATTAAGCATTTATGCCAAAAAGGAATGTCATACTGGGTGTATCCATTGTATACTGCAGCATTTTCCTGTGTATATATATATATATATATATTTTAATAGCATGCTTTATGGTTCAACTTCTTACAGAACAAAGTTGACAGAGAGGTTGGGGCTGCCACAGAAGATCAAGGAGCCAACAAAGGTAAAAAGATATTATACAGATAATTGTAAAGATCTTGCTGAAGTTCAAGTGCTTTTGAAGTTCTGTAATGATTTCTTGCTATCAGAAACTGACAGGTTTAATTTAAGTCAAAGATTGCTACTAAGTCATGAGATGCATAGGTGTGTAAATATTAGGGCTGCTGCTAAGCAATGCAAAATTTATTAATTGCAAAAAAAAAAAGAATACTTTGCACTGCTTTGACAGCATGGCACATAGTAGATTATGCTGGTATATTTGCAGGGAGGATCTTCTGCTTTTAATTCCTTTTCTAACTGGTTTTGTGTGAGGGTTCAATATATTACTTTCCCTTCGTAAAACTGTTTCTCCATTATTCCTGCCATTATGTATGAGATACATCAATAATTAACCACCTGGCTGGGATACTGTAAAGATTAAAAATTTCACCATAATCTGAGAATTTCTTATCATTTAAACTGTTCAAATATTTTTACAGTTTGAAGTTCAGTATAATGAGCAATAAAGGCAGTCACCTACAGTTTTACAACTCTTGTGGTGAACATAACCATACTTCCTATGCACAGCCACCGTAGAAGTGGTTTTAAAAGAAAAGTTATTGCTAATTGCCATTTTGATACAAACAATATATTGAGCAAGATGATCAAAATGCAAAACACTGTTTCTGCTGTGTTAAAAAAGAAGATGAAATACGCAATTCAGTGCCAAAGTGACTTAGATCAGCTGAATGAGTTCTAAATTATGGTAAGCATTTAAATTGATGAGTACAGATTTAATATGGACCGCAATGGGATTAATGAATAAATATTAGGGTCTTGTGTTACCAATCTACAGTCACATTTAAAAGTAGAACTACAGCTATTAGTTATACTCTGGGTACACTTTACACAGGAGTATAACAGAAGTGACATCTCAACACAGCCTCTTGCTTGTGCTGAAGAATTCCTGGGGCACAATATTTCAGCCTTGCAGATCATCTAGTTAAAGTTCATCCACTTTTCAAGGTTTTGTAGAAACCTTAACACAGATTTTAACACATGGCGCTCCTACAGCTCTGCTACCCATCACCTACCAGATAGTTGCCCTGGGGGAAAAACTGGTATGGGTAGGATCCCAGGTAAAGTGTACTCCTAGGACACATTAAATTTTAATGTACACCATTTATGCTTAATTTGGGGGAATTCTTCTTTTATTGTTGAGTTAGTCAGGCCCATTATCAGGTTCCTAATATATTCAACTAACCATCAGGATACATGAAATATCTTACCAGATAATCCGCTTTGGAATCCACAGTTCAGTTATTAAGTATTCCTTTCATTAATCTCTGTAATCCTATGTTGACAGAGGTCAGTAAAACAGTGGCTAAACCCTGTATGATTAGACTAAGTCTAGGCTTTGCAATTATTCCTTTTATGATTTGTTGTGTTTTTCTCAGCTGTTCTTACTCCTGAAGGGATGTGACCAGCATTACAGATGTCACACACAATTCCCAGAAACCATGGAGAAGGTCTTTACAGCAGTACATCAGCCAAGAGGCGGAGACCCATCAGCAAGCTAGAGATATATTCAGAAAGTGTGTGAAAATCAAAACAGGGACTATATACTATTTGATAACTGAGATGGCACTAGCACACTGATGTTCACAGCCACTGGATTAACAATCACTGTTGAATCTTCACATGCAATGAAAGTTAACAATGCTGCTATTGTCCAGAAAAAAAAAAATCCAGTCTCTTTTCTCCTTTCGATTATAACTCATTTAAGGGAAGAACTGCATGCTGCATGCTTTGAAAATGTTTTATGTGTCTTTGCCTGATAGAACACACAACATGTTTGAATAGGCCCATTTATTTAAGCAGACATATTAAATAATTTATATGTGAGCATCCATGTCATAAATTTTGTAGTCTCTTTAATGTAGGATAAATCTGTGTATTTAAAATAGTCTTTCTTCAAAGCCATCTTTTTCTTTTTCTTTTTTTTTTTTCAAACAGTCATAAAGGAAACTCTTATGTCTGTGGCATGAACAATGCCAGCACCATCATTTTAATGTTATCCATATGGGCTTCTAATAATAGATAAGAGTTTTTAGAGATTTGTATTGTATTTCTTTGAGACATTTAAATTCTTGATAAGGAAAGGCTGATTTCATTGGCCCCACAGTTAAAGGAAAGCAGACCCTAATTAAAAGAATTCTGTTCTGAATTAACTAGTTTGACATGTGCTAATTGACAGTTCCTGTGAAATGGTTTTAATTAAAGTCAATATGTCTTTTTCAATTAAAAGGAAATTAAGAATATACTAATATACATTAACAACTTAATCTGCCTTCAATATCCCATTCATCAGCTGCTTTTTTTTCTAATGTTATTGGAGAACCATCTGACATACATCTTCTACTGTTTCATTATGGTATCTCATTATTACCCAACAAGAGCACAGGCACTGGTGGAAATCCTCTACAGCAAGAAGAGAACCTGCCTATACTCCATGCATGCAATCCCTGATTTGACAGATGAAAGGTTGACATGATTTAGGAGTGGTACTCCCTAATTCAGCATCCCCATCAAGACTCTGCCAAACCACATGTCACTAGTTCACTCCTGCTCCAGCAGGATGCAGTTGAGAGTTGGAAGCACAAAATGTGAAGATCACTGGTTGAGATAAGAACAGTTTATTGCAAACAGCAAGGAGGTAAGAAAACAGACGGTAACAGCAACAATATTAACAACAAAGGTATGTAAAACAGGGTGATTCATGTGCAAGAATTCACACCAAGGATCCCAAGGAAATGAGAAATGACAGACAGTGCCACCACTTCCTTTCAATCAGAAGCTATGCCCTTCTCAGAAGCCAGAGATTCACTTCCCCCTGGTCCCAGCAGCTCTCTGAGGTGATACAGAAAAACCTTCAGGGCCTGGCCAAAACTAGGACAAAGGTAATACTTCCATCTTTTTCACACAGAAGGGAAAAAAGTCTGCTTATGACAAGACATGTCCTTATTTATTGCACACTGGGCCAAGTATTAGTCAATGAATTAAAAATTTTAATAGAAGTCCACTGTGTAGCGCTGCACTGCTAGGCTTTTCTCTCATTCTTTGGCCAAAGGAGGGGCAGGATTTTCATTTTTGAGTGAAATGTTCAAAAGTGCATTCTCTGTTTCAGAAGTGAATGAGGGGCAGAGTTCTGTGATTGGAGTGGTTCTAATTGTATATACAAGAAGAAAATAAAAAACATGCCTCCTTGAACAGCAGTGTTGACAACACTCCCATTGTTTTTTCTGGAAATGTGATGTGGCTGTTTATAGCCTCGAAATTAAGGATTCAAATGCACAACTGATTTCTTGCTACTAAGTCCAAGGCTTTACTGCTACTGACTAAGGAAGCACCATTAAAGTAGCAGCCCCTATATCAATAAGAATGCTATCTTGAATATGCTCACATATGGAGAACTCTGCAGAACATTACAGTCTTTGCATGTGAACTTTGCTCTTGATTTTTCAGTTGTTCTTTTGGTTTTTTTCTTATTTGGGAAATAATAATGAAAAACTTAGCTGACACAGTTTGGAGAGATTAGAGTCAGGAGAAACAACAGAGTAATTGACTTGAAAGGCAATTATATAGTGTTAAGATCTGGTTATTGCAAAGACTATACGCCACAGCCAATGGAATGGATTTTTTATTTAACAATAAATGTGAGGCAGAAATAGAAAGATATAGAAAAAAGAAACTAGAAAGGCCTAGAGTCACCACCCATTGGATGCTGAAAGGAGACTTCATTGTTGCAGTTTTGATGTCTGTTGGTCGAAGTGGTGGTCATTGGCTTGATCTGTCAGGAGTGGCAAAAGCCCACAAAACATTGGAATCCACAGGGTTTATATCCACTTACTGTCAGCTGAGAATGCCCAGGTACCCCCTCAGGGGTGGGAAGTGTCTCACTGAGTGATGCAGTGCTGTGGATTATGGAACACTTCGATTGATTAAGACATTACAGCTGCCTCTTCTGCCAGCACAGTTGAGTTAACTATGGTCCATCAAAAGGCATGAATGCCTTCAGGCTACTTTGAACTTCCTGTATTCTCCCGGAGGGGAGTTTTCACACCAGAGCCGTTATGTAAGGGAGGACACTGGCATAATAAAAGTCACTATACCCCTTCACAGGATTTGCCTCTTATCAGCCTCTTCCTTTATCCTGTTCAAGACCAGCAGCTGCTTCCAGTGATGGGTGTGCACACCCTGGGCAGGTAAGGGGCTGATTTGCTTGAGTCATATTTGTTTCATTAACCTCACATATAACTGTTTTTAAAATTTTGTTTCATATATGCTGCTAAAAACACAGTCTCATCTGTGTTATAATTTTGTATTTCAGGAAACAAAACTTCAAACAAAAAATATGACTATTCACTCAGCTAAATATATAATGAAGAGAATATATAATCTAGCCAGATTTTACCAAAATTTGACTGTTCCAGTAACTTATAACAACTTTTAAGTGACTCCTTTAAATTACAACAAAAACACAAATATTAAAATTCAGCATATAATTTACTATAACCTGTGACATTAAGTGACAATGAACAGATTTTTGTAGCTCCAGAAACTGCATTAGAGAGTGTAGTTAAGCTCCAGAAATGTATGAAAATCTCTGAGTGTTGGGAGGTGTTTCCACTTCCATTTGAAACTGTTGTCTTTCTTGGTATTTTTTGAAATTTATAGTCAATTTAAGAAGCAGCTAATATCCAAAATATTTCATGCTATTGAAATAAAAGAAGACCACATTTCATACTATTGTCTGATTTTGATTAACAAAAAGAATACAGACAGATTTTCAGGACTGTGTGACCAGATTTTATATAGACAGCTACCTAATTTTTTGCCAAAGCAAATGTCAATGAAAGGCTTAAAACTTTGTCCCAAAGCATCTACTACACATCTCACAATGCCTTATCTCAAGGCTAAAAACAAATTTCTTGAACAGTCTTCTTAAAGGCATATAAACCACTTACACAAAATTTTAGATTTGGGTCAAGCATCTTGATACTCTGGCTAGATTAAGGTTTTTGGATAAATACCCAACTTCCCTTGAGGACCTGGCATAGCGGGCTTGAAGGGTTATTTCAATACAGTAACTCTGACAAAAACAAGCGCCAAGATAATCATGTCTTAGCGATTCATTTCCTAAGGAAAAGTAGTCATGCTTTTAGGACAGAAATTTAAATAATATCTTGATTTTTTTGCCATTATTTTTGATCCAGAAAGCCCTCACAACAGCAAAGTGGATTGGACTTTTAGATCTTGGTGTTCATTGTAGCATTTTAATACCTCATTATCTTCGGTGGGGAAATATTTATGAGTGTATCTAGGGCTACATAAGAGTCACAGATGCCGCTTTTCTCAGCATCAGATTTTTTAACCGTTGCCTCGGTACGGTGCTGGTACAAATGCACCACTCAAGTCAGATGTGAAACATGTCTCTAAATTAGCAAATAAACAGATCTCTGGGAGAGAGCAGAAACTCTGACTACTTGTATTCATTAAAATTCCATGGTACTTTGCACAAGTGGAATGCTAATCTCAGAGCCTAAACTGAGACTCAATCCCACAAATCCTTTAAATGTTCTTAAAATAGAGTAAGGTTCAGTTTACAGTCCTAGGTGTCTGCAGATCCACCGTATTCTGCCTGTCCAAAATGATAGTTCTTTTTCCACTGCCTGCATTATTCTTGCTTCTCTCACCTCCTTTCACTGAAGCTTTACTTTATACTGCTGGGAACATATCTCATATATTCCCTATTGTGGCTGCATTTCATGAACAAGTGAGAGGATGTGGATGACAGTATGTAAAGCACCAAGATTTTTTTTTTCCTCTTACTCCCTTTGTTAAGCTTGTTTCAGCATTTCAACTGCTTGGTCTGCAAGCGGGTAGAAAAGGGGAAAGAAGGATGTGCATAATGTAAAAAACAGTTGACTTGAATCTGCAAACACTTACAAATAAGTTCCACTTGACTCATAAAAGTAGTCATTTTGATTTGGAAAAGCCTCTCTTTGCTGGGACATGTAAGTCTAATGCATTTCCGGACATGTAAGAATATTCTCTCATAGGGCAGACATCTGCAGCAAGGTTAATACTGGTAGCTGTGGCATACTCCTTACCCATACAACTAGTCTCAAAAGCCAGACATACAGGCTGGAAGACAAATTCTTTGTCCAAGTCAAGATTTTGCTTTATATAAATACTTTATAGTTATGATTACTACATAATATCAGTACTCTCAGGGGGAAAAAAACATCACTTGTGGATTACCTGCCTGTGGATGAAGGTCTAGATGGTTTTCAGTAGTCTGACAGCCCTAAAAGTCAAAAGAACAGTAAGAATCAAAAGTAAACCAACTTCCAATTCCTATGAATCTTCCAGAATAGCTAGCTTTGTATAAATAACTAGTGGAGCAGCATTTCAGTTTATATCCAGCCTAGCTAGATAGAGCTGTCTGTGTGGGGAATAAACTGCTGTGTTCTTGATGCAAGCCAACCACATCCTATGAATTTTACAGTTCATGAAAAAAATTTTCCTGGCAACAAGTTTCCTTGAGAAATCAGCATGTAGGACATACAATGCTGTGGTCCATGTAAAAACCTCTGGTTAGCAAGTTTTTTCTCTTCAAGCACCTCTCCTTCTAATCATTTTCCTAGCTGTGAAGGCTGTGCAGGTTATACATCCTCTTAATGTTTGCATTATGGGACATGTTTGGTTTTGCTGCTACAACAGCAAGCATTTTCAACATGGATTTTCTCATGAGCTGAGAAAACAGTCATGTGGGGTATTTTTAATATCTTATTTGCTTTGCTATTGAGAACTTTTGGCCCGAGGCACCCATCATTTGCATACCATGCCCCACATAATTTCTGTTATTGTTAATTCACATTCCAGTGTTCCTGATCCTAACCTGTATTTGTTTTGCATATTTTTTCTACTCAGTGGCATTCATTTTTCTGGAAATATTATTATTATTATTATTATTATTATTATTATTATTATTATTATTATTATTGTTGTTGTTGTTGTTGTTGTTGTTGTTGTTGTTGTTATTGTTATTTTGTTAAAGACACCTTCTTATCTGACTGCAAAAACAAGTCAAAACTGATAAATGGTCTGCCTTTGTCTGTTCCATAGAGACAGGTAGATTAGTACAGAAAAAAGACATGGCTAAAGAGGTGCACCAGTTTCCATTTTAAGTGCCTATATTTAAGTATTTAAATTTTTCTCACCTTTACATTTTGGACTAAGCTTTTTGGTCTTCACCTTTGCTCCAAAAGTCTCTCCTAAGTGATAGCATGAACTTAACTGGAAACATATCCTTTTTTTCCAACATAACAGAAATTTCATCAAAAGCAGCTACTGTTGGTAGTTGAAATATGGCATGGAGCAACTCTCCAAGTATGTTTCCTTCCACTGTGACAAAGAAATCTAATTAGAACTGTGCCTTGATCGAGATGTTGACAGCTGTATTCAGATCATTCTGAGTGCACAGACAGGGAATACAGTACTGAACTCGCACAGATTAGACAGATGCTGAATGGGAGATGAGCAGAAGTAGTAACCGGTAAGGAGGGCTGTACCTGTTTTGATTAACCTCTGTAGTTCTCCTCTCCAGCAAGCAGAAATCCTACTGGGATGCCCTCCTGGTGATTATCAAAATGGCAATCGAAACTCAGGTGATGGATTGGATTCACACTGTATGAAATGAAATTTTATTCAACCTTTGCACCTTTGTGGGCAGAAATATGACTTCTCATGACCTAAGGAGATGCAGAAATAATTCAGTTCTTCGTAGACCTGAGACATTCCAGTCCTGCTCTAACACAGACAAGCAGCTATAGACATGTAGCCCACCAGTGCTATTTTACAAGCTAAGAGACTCTGAAGCCCAAAGGCAAAGATTTTCTTCTGGGTCCTTCACCATTTTTTCCTTTTAGTCAGGGAAGATATATTTAAAAACTGAAACTATGGATGCATAGGAACTTCATGATATGGGCTTAACAGCTGGAAACCAACAAATCTTACAGTGGTGTTCATGTCAAAAAAAATAATGGTCAGATAAAGACATTAAAGATCAATTCATGTGCAATATGATAGGACACTTTTATTCATGTCAAGCCCCAGTCTTTCTACTTGTAATGCATACCTGGCTGCACACTGATGCGACAAAGTTCACATTTGTGCATCTGTCTATCTGCATGCCATATACTAAAGGAGTGAAATGTCTGATATATCTGTTAAAAGAGAACACATTGAAATGTTTAAGAGATGTGAATCTGCTAGACAGAGTCTGGTGAAAGTTTATGAAAAATCCCCTGTAGAGAGTACTCATATTTCTGATCACTGGTAATATTAAAATAGATAGCAGTGAAAGCAGTGAAAGCAGGCAGGCACCTACCTAAAATAGGTAGGTACCTCTGTTTCAATGTCATAGAAATAGCTGTCTAGTGTCTGTGAAGTTAAAAGTTAATATACAAAAACATCAGATTAAATGCTGCAGTGAAGCTCTGTCGTGCTCTTGTTTGGGTAGTTCACTGTTATGGCCTTGATCCATGAAAAGTCTTCCCACACCAGAAAAACAGCCCACTAGCATAATGTGACTGTGTTTGCACAGATCAGGTTGCAAGATTAGAAACTTGGTGTGGTTTTAAAACAAGGCCAGAATGTGGTCTTATGTGACACCTTACTCAGCCCAGTTGAAACCGATGGGACTGTGGGATGAAAAAAAATAGCTCAAATGAAAATGAAGAATTTTCAGTTTGATCTTTCACGTTCTACATAGTTTGTGTATTCACATGTTAAAAATGGGATGTAATTTTATATTTTATAGTTTGAATCATATAGAATCACCATAATTTATGCAGGATCCCACATGCCTGTTAAGTAGCCAGAATGCTTTTCACAAGGAGAAAGCATATATAAAAACAGATCTGTATGTGTATGTGTGCAACAAACAGACCAAATTTACTGAGAGTAACTTACTGGAGAGGAGCTCTAGCTTGGAAAATTTACACCAGTTTTCAGGACTCAAGAGGACATCTTTTTGTTGACAACAAGAGGTTGTGTCAATAATTAAGAGGGATGTTGAAATTAACTTAATTTCTTTTCCTATTTTTAAGTAAACCCAAGATGGAAGTTTGCTGTGATAATGGGGAAATATTAACACAAGGTTTCTAAAAGGCCAAAACAGCAGTGTATCAAGACACAGGAGCATCCAAACAAAATTAAGTTTGTGACTGTACAGTGCAAGGAATATGAGCAGAGACCCCTCTTTCCCTGCTGAAGGAAACAGAGGCCCAGGAGAGTCGGTCAATCCTTAAGGCTCTCCTCTTTCAGGCTCAAGAACAATGCATCCAGTGAGGAGCAGGGCAGGCCAAGGGCACAAGAAAACTCCATAGATGAATAAAGCCCTCATTGCTAGCTGCCAGCAAAAGGTTCCCAGGAGATGGAAGCAAGGTCAGGCCACCTGGAGTGAATATAGAAAGGTGGTCAGGATAAGAAATGAAATTAGTCTAGAAAGACCAAAGTCCATCTAGAATTAAATCTAGCCAAGGATGTCAAGGATGACAAAAAGGTCTTTTTCAAATACATAAATAACAAAAGAAAAACAGAGGACAATGTGGACCCATTAGTAAATGGAGGGCACTCTGTTAACAGAAGACACAGGGAAGGCAGAGTTATTGAATGTCTTCTTTGCATCTGTCTTCACCAGAAATATCAGCCCCAAGTGATCCCTAAGCCAGAAGACCAGAGTATATGAATGTCAGGAGGAAGACCTTCCTTCAATGAAGGAGGATTGTGTCAGAGAACACCAAAATAAATTTCACATCCACAAGTCCACAGGCCATGACGGGATGGACCCATGAGTGCTGAGAGAGCCGGCAGACATCAAAAATAGGCCTCTCACAATCAACTTTGAGAGGTCATGGAGATCAGGAAAGGTGCCTGAGGACTGGAAGTAAACAAATGTCACTCCAGTCTTCAAAAGGAGCAAGAAAGAGGACAAAGAGAACTACCATCCAGTCAACCTCACCTCGATCCCTGAAAAGAAGATAGAGTGCTTTATTCTGGCGGCCATGTCTACCAACATGAAAGACAGAAAAGTGACCAAGAGCAGTCAGCAAGGATTCACTAAAGTTATGCTTTATCAACCTGATTGCCTTCTCCCATGAATCAGCTACCCAGATGGAGTAGGAGAGAGCAGTGGATAATGTCTGCCATAACTTTCATAAGGCTGTCTCTCATAGGCAAACTCAGGAAGTGCAGGGTGTATGGATGGACTCTAGGCTGGATTGAGAACTGGCTGAGTAACAGATTCCAGAGGGCTGTGATCAGTGGTACAGAGTTTTGTTGAGGTCTCTCACTATGGGTTTGCCCCAGGGTTCTGAATTGGGTTCAGTGCTGTTCAACTTGTTCCTCAGTGACTTGGATGAAGGGGCAGATGCCTCCTCAGCAAGTTTGCAGATGATTCAAAGCTGGGAAATTGGCCAACACCCCAGAGAGTTGTGAGCCCTTCAGAGGGACCTTCACAGACTGGACAGATGGGCAGAGAAAACTGTCTGAAATTCAAAAAGGGAAAATGCAGAGTCCTGCATCTGAGGAGAGACAACCCCAGGCACCAGCACAGGCTGACCTGCTGGGAAGCTGCTCTGAGGAGAAGAGCCCAGGGATCCTGGTGGATTGAGCCAGCAGTGTGCCCTTGTGGCCAAGAAGGACAAAGGAATGCTGGGTGTATCAGGAGCAGCATTGCCAGCAGGCTGAGGGGGAGGATCCTGCCCCTCTGTTAACCCTGGTGAGGCCCCATTGCAGTACTGGGAGCAGTCCTGGACCCCTCAGCACAAGAGAGACAGGGAGTTCCTCCAGCAAGTTCAGGGGAAAGCAAATAAGTTGTTCAAGGATCAGGAGAATCTCTCATATGACAAAATACTGAAGGAGCTGGGACTTGAGAAGAGTAGACTGAGAGGGGATGTCATAGATGTGTATAGACAAAGTAAGGGTATCAAGAGGATGGATCCAGGCTCTTCTCAGTGGTGCAAGCCAGCAAAACAAGGGGCAATAGACAGAAACTGATGCACACAAAGTTCCACCTAAACATGAGGAAGAACTTCTTTGCAAGTGACCACACATTGGAACAGAGGATGTGGAGTCTCCCTCACTGGAGATATTCCAGAACCATCTGGACACAATCCTGTGCCACTTGTTCCAGGAGAACCTTGCTTGAGTAGGGAGGTTAGACCAGGTGCTCCACTGTGGTCCCTTCCAACCTATTGTGTTTCTGATTCCCGGTGTAGGGAAAGTTGAATCAGAGAACTAGCTTGGGTTGCAGCAAAGATATTGTGTGGTGTTGTGTTTATCTAGGTCAGTGCATGAAATGTAAGCTCTCCCAGCCTTTTTATCACCACAGCCATGATTAAAAACTTTGCCCACCTGGTATTAAG